ATATATATAATAGAATTTCATATGTTTCTAGGATATATGATTCTTGACTAAGCTATTGCAGAATTTATGAAAGAATTTTTACATACTAAAAATTTCAAATTACGCTCTTGATGAATTTCTCATAAAAGCAACATGCATGAGAAATTTGACACTGATCTTCTTGTATCTCAAAAGTTCTGGTTTGATTACTCTTGTTACTTAGTAAGAAAAATCAGAAACTTTTAGGATATATATATAGTTGTTGTACACACCTAAAGATGGTGATCGTGCATTCCTTTATTTGTATTGAGACTCATGTTACTTATACGAGATCTAGGTTCCTAACAAGTCATACAAGAATTATTGAAATGTTTTTTGAGTTGAAGAACCTTGAAATAAGAGGTTGGAAAGTGGAAAAATAATGTTGCGAAAGTGATTGTGGTGGTGGTAGTATGGTGTTGGCGTGGAAATTGGAAAAAATAATATGCTACCTAAGTCCTAAACTAATTAAACTAGTTGAAATAAAAAAAATATCAAAAGACAAATATAAAAAGACAAATTTTACTAAAAACAGTGTCCAAAAAATAATAGTATGAGATGTTAAGTGATAAAAATGATAGTCTAAAATTAAATTTAGAATTGCCACCAAAGACAAAAGACCTCTGGTGGAATTAACTTTCCAAAAAATATGAAAAGTAATTTTCCCTTGAAGCGCCTAATTTGGAGATTATCAATCTTTTGGATATGGAAAAAGCAAGATTGTTCCTTGATAGAAGAAACAAAGTGTTGATCAAATTGATTTTTTTATTCGATAGATGTTTCCAACTTTCAACCTCTCTTAAAGAGGGCATGGTCGCTGGAGGTTGGAGGTTGTTGTCCCGTTTATGAAGACAGTGGATCAACGGCGGTCGTAGCACGCTGCAAGAATGAAATAATTAGTCATTTTATATCTTAATTACCTTCCCAACTAAATATATAAATGCGGAAATGACCGAAATTAATTGTGCATAAAGAGACCATTTTCAATTAACATTTTTTTATTTTCTAAATGCTGATGAAAAATCAGGGGTATTTTAATTAAGGACGTCATTATTGTAGGTTCCACCCTTAGAATTGATGATTTATGATAGTATTGGCATAGATGTTCTTTTTCTTTTTATTTTTTTTGTAAAATATATTATTTTATTTTTAAAAATATGATAGTACTTTTTCCCACAATTTATTTTTTAAAAAAGTTAGTACATATTACCAAAAAGTATTGGTTCAAGTAGATGTGTATACAACAAATCAACATTCCCTTAAAAAACGAATACCAATTTACTAGGCAAAGAGGAACATATTTATAAGTGTGATACCATTCCTGTGATGATAATCTTCGTTATTGTTTATAATATGAAGGTCATATCACATATTAAAAGTGGTGTGGGTGTGTAAGGTTAGGTTAGCAATATTTAAATTTTATTTTGAATATTCAAAATTTAAGTAATATTTTTAAATTTGATATCTGAAATCAAAGACCTTGTGATCCACTGGTATCCAGTTGCTCCCCTATTTGAGAGGTCTAGGGTATATTATATATGTGGATATCCCCTCCCTTTGTAATGAAAAAAAAAAATGATATCTGAAATATTATAAAATATTTTCAAATTTTTTCTGATTAATTACCAATTCCTTTATTTAATTTTCCATCGTAGATCAAAGGGAAAAAAAATAGTTCTTGTCATGTCATCGATCTTCTTTTTATTTTTTATTTTTAAATTTGAACTGTGAATTTATAGATTGCAAAGAGAAAATATAAATTAAATATAAGGGTGAGTCAGGTTATTCTACTTAGGGTCTGTTTGAAAACTCAGAAAATGATTTCTGAAAAATGTTTTTCGAGTTTTCAATTCAATGTTTGGATGCAATAGGAAAATTCGGACAACGAAAAATGTAGGCATTTTGGCGAAAAATGAATTTTGCCAATCCTCAAAACATGATTTCTGCCTATTTCCGGCGGAAACCACGACTATTGTTGTTGTTGTTTTTTTTTAAAAAAAAAAAATTGATAAATAATAATATTATTTTAAATATTATTATAAATATTTTTATATTCTAATTAAATAAAATATTTAATTACACAATTCTACCCATTTTCAGAAAATGAATCAACACACCAAAACAATTTTTCAGAATGCAACCAAACACTGAAAATGAAAATATTTTTTAAAAAACAACTCATTTTTCATAAAACATTTGCATAAGTTATTTTCCTACTTACCAAACGGATCTTTAATTATTAAAAAAAAAAATTAAGAAATAGTGGACAAATTAAATGTATGTCTCTTGCATTCAAAAAAAAAAATGTATGTCTCGAGGTAGCTGAAATGTTATTAAGACAGTGGTCAGTGGATGAGCGGTCGTAGCACGCTGATGTCCTAGTTAGCTTACCGTTTTTTTTTTTTTTTTTTTTTTTTTTTTGGAATGCTACTTACTCTATTACAGTGTAGTATCTATTCAAACATATTTTCTCAATTTATAGGGCTAACAACGCCTCCACTGAAGTTCGATCTCATAATTTTCCATATGAGAAAGATCACTACATGTCATCTGAGCACAATGTTTGAAAATGACTTCTGCAAATGGTAAAAATCTGAAAATTATATAATTTTCCAGTAAACTTATGCCTATGTGCTTACCGTTTGTTTGAAAATACGTCAAATAATTTTTGAAAAATAATTTAAAATCTTTTAGAATATACTTTTATTTTTTGACTGAAATTTAAAAAATAATTTTTTTGTTAAAAATCAGAAAATTATATTTTTTTTTCTGTTTTGTACATTTTTAAGAACATAGGCATAAGTTTACTGGAAAATTATTTTTTATAAAATATTAAGTATTTTAACTATGATAATCATTATTATTTATATTAAAACAAAATTATTAATTAAAATATTTTTAGTATACTCTAACCAATTAATTGTCCTTATATGACAAGTATGCTAACCCTAATTAGGAATTAAAAAATCTATAGAATAAAAATGTAGAAAGATATTTTTCACTAAATGGGTAAGTTTTTCTTTATCCAGAACGAGTATTTATCATTAATTTTTTTATAGCTAAAAACAGATAAAAAGAAAATTTTCTAAAAGTCATTTTTTGATTTTTTTTTTTTTTAAATAGTACTTGCTTATGGAAATCAATTGTAACTATGTAATAACATTTTAAAATTATATTTCTTCATTAAACCAAACAATAGAATAAAAGTTATATTTTATTTAAACCAAATCGCGTCAAAAATAAAAAAAAAAAAAAAAAAAAACATCGAATACCATATATAGCATGGTAAAATGAGGTTTAAATTTATTATAGAATCATGCTAGGCCTTCAGGTTTTCACAGCATTTAATTTACCACATGATGTGGAAGTGTTTTCCACCAATAAAAATGCTTTGATTTTTCAACTTTTTTTAATTTAGTGAGCCCTTTTAACTTAGTAATATCTGGATATTAGGAGGGAGTAGTTATGCCGTCATCCGTATGCATTATGCATGGTGCATACAGATGCAAAAACGACGTCGTTTTATTAAAAATGCGCGTCTTCCCTTAAAAAAAAATTCAGGCTCGATTCCCAGCAATAACATTATGTTGTTCATTCATTCTGGAATTTTAGTTCATAGATTATGGAATTATAGTTCATCGATTCTGGAATTTTAATTCATTCATTCTGGAATTTTTAGTTCATAGATTAGATTATGAAATTTTAGTTCATAGATTCTGGAATTATAGTTCATCGATTCTGGAATTTTAGTTCATATGTTGTTGCTGGGAATCGAACCTGGAATTTTTTTTAAGGAGAGACGCGCGTTTTTAATAAAACGACGTCGTTTTTGCATCCGTATGCACCATGCATGCACAGCATAATTTGCCATTAGGAGGTGAAAAAAAATGAAGGGAAGTAATCGTTTTCCTATTTTATATATTACTGATTTTCTGATGATTGCACCGCACCACATATCATATCACAGGATTATAACAATCGTTATGCGTTGGACCCGTGTCCAACATGTCGTTATGCGTTGGATCCGTGTCCAGCATGCTTGCTGGACACGGGTAACAGTGCCGTTAGGCACTGTTATCTCCTTTTTTTTTTTTTTTTTTTTTTTTTTTTTTTAAATTCAGACCGCTTCATTGTAAGAGTATATATTCATAATTTTATTACTATATGTTAATAACTATACATTCATAACTCCATAACTGTACGTTCATAACTCTATAACTGTACATCATAACTCCATAACTGTACATTCATAATTCCATAACTGTACATTCATAACTCCATAATTGTACATTCATAATTTTCGAAGCTCTATGTTCACAATTTTAGAGCTCTATGTTCATAATTTTATCACTATATGTTCATAATTGTAAGTTCATAATGTTAGAGCTCTTTGTTTAAATTTGATCAATAACTGTACATTCATAATTCCATACTGTAGATTCATAATCTCATAACTGTAGATTCATAACTCCATAACTGTAGATTCATAACTCTATAACTGTACATTCATAACTCGATAACTGTACATTCATAATCTTCGAAGCTCTATATTCACAATTTTAAAGCTCCATGGTCATAATTTTATCACTATATATGTTCATAATTATAAGTTCATAATGTTAGAGCTCTGTGTTCATAATTTCATAATTGCATAACTGTATATTCATAATGGAATAACTGTACATTCATAACGGCATAACTGTACATTCATAATCCAAAAAAAAAATAACACCGTTAACGTTGTTAACGGCAAAACGCGCGCAATTTTTTTTTTTTTTTTTTTAACTAAATGACGCGTTTTTTTAAAAAAACGACGTCGTTTTGGGTCCGTGTCCACAATTCAATGTGGACACGGGTCCAGGGCATAATTTGCCGGATTATAATACCAAGCCCAATTATATTTATTTTACTCAGCTCACACCACTGCACCGCACCTATATGGCTATATATACCCCCAACCTCTTTCTATATTATTCATCGCATAGACCCAAGACATATATAATACAATACTACTTCCCTCCTATTCCTTCATCAACATCACAATGCCTCCTCCATACAAACTATACCTATTCCTTACTATTATATGCCTCCTTTCCCTTCTTCTTATTCATTCTGCTGCCCCTATTTTCAATGCTTCAACCACCCTTCCTTCTTTGCCTCCAAACCACTTGCAAGTCCCAAATGAAGTAGAAGCTCTTTTAACATGGAAGTGGAGCCTTGACCTCAAAAGTCAACAATTACTCTCATCATGGGTTGTTGGTAGTGATCCTTGCAATTGGACTGGAATTACTTGTGATGGTGGCCGAAGCATTACAAGCTTAACCCTTACAAGTTATGCATTAAAAGGTACACTTCAAGATATGAATTTCTCATCCTTGATTCATTTACAAATTGTTGATCTTTCCAACAACTCACTCCATGGAAGCATTTCTTTTATTAAAGGAATGACTACCTTGAAAATTTTAACAACTTTGTATCTCAATCAAAATAGGTTTTCCGGCCAAATTCCTCAAGAAATTGGGTTGTTAACATCTCTTGTTGTTTTTGGATTGTACTCAAATAATCTCACTGGTCAAATCCCTACTTCGGTTGTAAACTTGAAAAATTTAACAACCCTATATCTCTATGAGAACCAACTTTCAGGCCACATTCCTCAAGAAATTGGGTTGTTAACATCTCTTGTTGATTTGGAATTGTACTCAAATAATCTCACTGATCAAATCCCTACTTCAATTGGAAACTTGAAAAATTTAACAACTCTATATCTCTATGAGAACCAACTTTCAGGCCACATTCCTCAAGAAATTGGGTTGTTAACATCTCTTGTTGATTTGGAATTGTCCTCGCATAATCTCACAGGTCAAATCCCTACGTCAATTGGAAACTTGAAAAATTTAACAACCCTATATCTCTATGAGAGCCAACTTTCAGGCCACATTCCTCAAGAAATTGGGTTGTTGACGTCTCTTGATGTTTTGGGATTGTACTCAAATAATCTCACTGGTCAAATCCCTACTTCAATTGGGAACTTGAAAAATTTAACAACCCTATATCTCTATGAGAACCAACTTTCAGGCCACATTCCTCAAGAAATTGGGTTGTTAACATCTCTTGTTGATTTGGAATTGTACTCAAATAATCTTACTGGTCAAATCCCTACTTCAGTTGGAAACTTGAAAATTTTAACAACCCTATATCTCTATGAGAACCAACTTTCAGGCCATATTCCTCAAGAAATTGGGTTGTTAACATCTCTTGTTGATTTGGAATTGTCCTCACATAATCTCACTGGTCAAATCCCTACTTCAATTGGGAACTTGAAAAATTTAACAACCCTATATCTCTATGAGAGCCAACTTTCAGGCCACATTCCTCAAGAAATTGGGTTGTTGACATCTCTTGTTGTTTTGGGATTGTACTCAAATAATCTCACTGGTCAAATCCCTACTTCAATTGGGAACTTGAAAAATTTAACAACCCTATATCTCTATGAGAACCAACTTTCAGGCCACATTCCTCAAGAAATTGGGTTGTTAACATCTCTTGTTGATTTGGAATTGTACTCAAATAATCTTACTGGTCAAATCCCTACTTCAGTTGGAAACTTGAAAATTTTAACAACCCTATATCTCTATGAGAACCAACTTTCAGGCCATATTCCTCAAGAAATTGGGTTGTTAACATCTCTTGTTGATTTGGAATTGTCCTCACATAATCTCACTGGTCAAATCCCTACTTCAATTGGGAACTTGAAAAATTTAACAACCCTATATCTCTATGAGAGCCAACTTTCAGGCCACATTCCTCAAGAAATTGGGTTGTTGACATATCTTGTTGTTTTGGGATTGTACTCAAATAATCTCACTGGTCAAATCCCTACTTCAATTGGGAACTTGAAAAATTTAACAACCCTATATCTCTATGAGAACCAGCTTTCAGGCCACATTCCTCAAGAAATTGGGCTGTTAACATCTCTTGTTTATTTGAAATTGTACTCAAATAATCTCATTGGTCAAATCCCTACTTCAGTTGGAAACTTGAAAAATTTAACAACCCTATATCTCTATGAGAACCAACTTTCAGGCCATATTCCTCAAGAAATTGGGTTGTTAACATCTCTTGTTGATTTGGAATTGTCCTCACATAATCTCACTGGTCAAATCCCTACTTCAATTGGGAACTTGAAAAATTTAACAACCCTATATCTCTATGAGAGCCAACTTTCAGGCCACATTCCTCAAGAAATTGGGTTGTTGACATCTCTTGTTGTTTTGGGATTGTACTCAAATAATCTCACTGGTCAAATCCCTACTTCAATTGGGAACTTGAAAAATTTAACAACCCTATATCTCTATGAGAACCAGCTTTCAGGCCACATTCCTCAAGAAATTGGGCTGTTAACATCTCTTGTTTATTTGAAATTGTACTCAAATAATCTCATTGGTCAAATCCCTACTTCAGTTGGAAACTTGAAAATTTTAACAACCCTATATCTCTATGAGAACCAACTTTCAGGCCAAATTCCTCAAGAAATTGGGTTGTTAACATCTCTTGTTTATTTGAAATTGTACTCAAATAATCTCACTGGTCAAATCCCTACTTCAATTGGGAACTTGAAAATTTTAACAACCCTATATCTCTATGAGAACAAACTTTCAGGCCACATTCCTCAAGAAATTGGGTTGTTAACATCTCTTGTTGATTTGGAATTGTCCTCACATAATCTCATTGGTCAAATCCCTACTTCAATTGGAAACTTGAAAAATTTAACAACCCTATATCTCTATGAGAGCCAACTTTCAGGCCACATTCCTCAAGAAATTGGGTTGTTAACATCTCTTGTTGTTTTGGGATTGTACTCAAATAATCTCTCTGGTCAAATCCCTACTTCAATTGGGAACTTGAAAAATTTAACAACCCTCTATCTCTATAATAACCAACTTTCAGGCCACATTCCTCAAGAAATTGGGTTGTTAGCATCTCTTGTTGATTTGGAATTGTACTCAAATAATCTCAGTGGTCTAATCCCTACTTCAATTGGGAACTTGAAAAATTTAACAACTTTATATCTCTATGAGAACCAACTTTCAGGCCACATTCCTCAAGAAATTGGGTTTTTAACATCTCTCATTGATTTAGAATTGTCCTCAAATAATCTCACGAGTCAAATCCCTACTTCAATTAAGAACTTGAAAAATCTAACAACTCTATATCTCCATGAGAACCAACTTTTTGGCCACATTCCTCAAGAAATTGGGTTCCTAACATCTCTTGTTATGTTAGTTTTGTCCTCAAATAATCTCACTGGTCAAATCCCTACTTCAATTGGGAACTTGAAAAAGTTGACAATCCTATATCTCTTTGATAACCAACTTTCAGGTCACATTCCTCAAGAAATTGGGTTGTTAACATCTCTTGTTGGTTTGGAATTGTCCTCAAATAATCTCATTGGTTTGTTGCCCGAAAATCTATGCATTGGTCGTTCCCTAAAACGTTTGGTTGTGCATAACAATGAGCTTATAGGAAAAATTCCCAACACTTTGAAAAATTGTACGTCTCTTGTCAGAGTACAACTTCAAAACAACCAATTCTCTGGAGATTTATCTGAAGCCTTTGGAGAATATCCAAACCTTGATTACATTAACTTGAGTAACAATTCTTTTTATGGCCATCTGTCTTCTAGTTGGGGCCATTGCTCGAAACTTACTGCCTTGAAGATTTCAAATAATAGAATTTCTGGAAATCTTCCACCTAATCTCAACAATGCCTCTCAACTTCGATTTCTAGATCTCTCCTCGAATGAAATAGTTGGAATGATCCCCAAGAGTTTGGAAAACATGGTGTTGTTAATTATCTTTAAGTTGGATAACAACAAACTTTCTGGCAACATATTACTAGAAGTTGGAAAATTATCTCAACTTTTGATCTTTAGCATAGCTGCAAATAATTTTGTTGGATTGATTCCACAACACTTTGAGAGTTGCCCAGGGATAATAGACTTGAATTTGAGCAGAAATATGTTTTCTGGCAAGATTCCTTATGGCATGGGAAACATGAAAATGCTTGAAATCCTTGATCTCAGTCACAACTTCCTCGATGGCCAAATTCCACAACAGCTCGATGGACTGACAAGTTTACAGATTATGAACCTATCTCATAATAATCTGTCAGGGTACATCCCATCAAGCATTTCCCAGTGTACAGGTTTAGATTCTATCGATGTATCATACAATCAGTTAGAAGGTCCCATCCCAAACAATAAAGCATTTTTGGAAGCTTCATTTGATTCCTTGAGAAATAACAAAGGTTTGTGCGGAAATCATTTTGGTTTTAAGCCTTGCTCCAGTTACCATCAAAGAGATCATAGGAGAAGAAATTTGTTCATAATCATACTAGTAACATTTGGAAGTTTGTTTGTTGTTATTAGCATTCTTGTCATATTAATTATTCGATCAAGGAGCAACATTAGAGAAAGACGACCAAGAGAAACTATTAAAGATGTGCTAGAAATATTGAGTTTTGATGGGAAGGTGGCATATGAAAGTATCATTGAAGCGACTGAGAACTTCGATTCAAGATATTGTATTGGTGAAGGAGGACATGCAAGTGTTTTCAAGGCTGAGCTACCAAGTGGTCAAGTAGTTGCTATAAAGAAGTTTAAGGCCACTGGGCAAGAAGATGAATGGTGTAGTCTCAAAAGTTTTTCAAATGAGGTTCGCAGTTTAACCGAGGTTAGACATCGAAATATTGTAAAATTGTATGGTTTCTGTGCTAGTGAGAGACACTCATTCTTGATCTATGAGTACTTGGAAGGTGGAAGCCTAGCACACATATTAAACCATGATGAAAAAGCATTGGAATTAGGGTGGATGAAAAGGGTAAATGTAGTTAAAGATGCGGCTAAAGCATTGTCATATATGCACCATGATTGCTCAACTCTTATTGTTCATCGGGACATATCTTCTAAGAATATTCTGTTTGATTTGGAATACAAAGCTCATATTTCTGATTTCGGCACAGCAAGAATATTGAGTCTTGATTCATCACATTGGACTTCATTTGCTGGGACATTTGGCTATGCAGCTCCTGGTACGCACTAATTATATATATTAATCCACTTTGCATGCATGCATGCTCTATTATATTCTTTTGTTTTGTTCTTGAATATAATTCATTTTATTTATGGCATGCAGAGTTTGCATACACTATGGAAGTAACCGAAAATTTGGAGTGGTAGCACTGGAAATTATTATGGGCAAGCATCCGGGAGACTTGATTACAACCATTTTGTCACCCTCAACATCAGAAACCGGCCATCATCAAATGCTGGTAAAAGATTTGTTAGACCCTCGACTCTCTACTCCAACAAAGCAAGTGGCGAATGAGTTGGTTTTGGTTGCCAAGATAGCAGTTGCCTGTTTGAATAGCAATCCACAATGCCGGCCGACCATGCGACAGGTTTCTGTGTTGCTATCCAAGGAATTGCATTTGTCAAATTTGTTACTTGATCATATCTCAATAAGCCAATTGTTTGGCCTTGAATTCCGTACTCCCTGATCAAGCTAGTTTTCAAGGCGTTGAAATTAGTACTATTCTTTCAGCTGATTCATTCTCAACATGCTTTTTCTCAGCGTTACGTTGCTATTTTTTGGTAAGTTGTTTAAATTTTATTATTGCATGACCAATTCTCTTAGATTATTGGGTTTTCTGTATTATTTGCTTTGCTGGATGGATATGAGATTTGTATATGTTGATTTAGCATTGGAAATTGTAGCATTCAATTAAGCGCTAAGTTGGGATTTGTGAATTTAGGTTAAGATTGGTGTGAGGCTTTGATGTGAGAAGAAAGGCAGGATTGGTGAATGTACTAAACATTAGACCTATTATATATGATTTGGGCAACTCCAACCAAGTTAGTCCTATTGACTTGGTAACTGCTCAGACTCTGTATATTGACTTTGAGTCAGCCAGATATGGACATCTAACCTAATTGGTTTATCTTCTTATGGTCAGACAACTTGAGCTTCAAACTGTGCTCATGCATCTCCCAATTTCATTCATGCATGCCAGCCCGGGGTATGTATGTGAAAATGCAAAGCTTTGGTTTATTTTTTCGATATTAATGACCTTGTGTTTTTCCTATGTTTACTTCACTGAATTTCATTCAGTAGGATTATGATCATAATGTTCCACTTGGATCTGCATGCAAAAATCACACCAAGGCTTCTTATGCCTTCTTGGATTCTTAGCTTGGAATTGAATACCACATATATATATATATAGATCCAATCCAGGTTAGTAACACTATTATCACAACAAGCTAGGGTTTCAAACTTTAATTTGTCATTAATCTGTTTAGGCAATCAAACAATGGCAGTGATGAAGAAGTATAGAAGGAAGCTTAGCTTGCTGATGGATACACATCACCAGATTACTTGTTAAGTGGGGCAAGTTGAGGTGAGAATTTGCTGTAAATTAATAAATGTTTTGGTGTCCTGTAATCTAATAAACTTTCACCACTTATTATTTGTTTTGTTTCCTAGAAATTGGCTAAGCGACACAACGGCTTCATGTTCTGCTCAACACATATATGCATGAATCAAAGTATGACATAGTTGACAAGGAAATTATTTTTTTTAACAAGTGTCTTTTGAAGATTGGTTTGTGTCACAATTAAGGATTTGGCATTCTGGCAATTGCAAGTTTTTTAGGCTTTCCATCACTAAAGACCTTGTGTTTTTCCAATAATATAATGTTTGCTGTGAAATATATGCTGGATTATTACAGCATATATCCAGATTAGTAAATATTATAATGGATGGATTCCAAACTTTAATTACATAAATTTTGATGGCAGAGCAGCTTTACTGCTTGTGCTTCAAATTTCATCACTATTGCTAATATATGATCCTAAAATTAACAGGTCCACACCAGCGCCATATAGGTGAATTCATGCATGCATTCTTATCTTCATTAGTTCTGCAGGTGAGTTCATTTTTTACTCAGTGAAACTACCTTCTTCTTTTTTTTCTTTGAACTCAACAAAACAACCAAATTCTATAACTTTTTTCAATTGTTCGTTGTAAATTCTTATAAGGCGTATGCTTACATATTAAGCCTAGAGTAAGAATGACAAAAAATTTGTTTTTATGAGGTAGGGTACCGAGACAACTTTTATTAGTTAATGGATTTTTTTGTTTGTTTGTTTTAAATACTACATTTTTGTTTAATGAGACCTCTTGACTTTTTCCCATTGATATTATAAATGGTATATGTCATGTTGAATTGGAGAAGTATCAGTCTGGAATCTCAACACTATGACCTAGCCTCAATGCAATTAGTACGTACTTTCAATCTAACAAGTAAGCTAACAATCTAACAAGTAACAGATTAGTAACAACCCAAAGTAATTATCTAGTGAATCACTCAACAAGATATTTTAATTAATTTAACACATTAGCATTAATTCTAAAGCACCCAGAGAATTTAATCTGTATAATCAAGGAAATGTACTAGCTTACTTGTTAGATTGAAAGTACGTACTAATTGCCTTGAATGAGATCTCAAATACAATGGAGAAACTTAGCTTGTTGATGATATATATGATGCAGAGATATGATAGCTAGGCTTCCTTGTTTTCAGGTCGCATGCATGTTACTTAATTGGTACGGAGTATTATATTTAATTTAATTAGCACACAAATTTAATGATGGAGGCATGGTCGGTCATTTGTGAACTTCAGGGCAGGCCGGGAATTACCTTTTAAGAATCGGCCGGTTTGTGTCTCCACTTTTGAGGCCGGCACATCATTTCTTGAATTTTAGGAATCGCTAACAATATGCATATATGCACTTTGATTACATACATTATCACAGTGTTAGGACTCTAAACTCCTAATTATATTATACTTAAGTTCTGTTACATGTATTAATATATGTCTTATAGTTCCAGCCCCTGCTACGACTAGTGGACCTCCGGCCTCCTGCTGCTCCGGTGTTGAATCCGGCATACGCTACATGGGTACGGTGCAACAAGACCAATCCATCTTCACCATGCTTATTTCTTCCCTGCAGGCCTGTCGGAGGAGGTGATGCATTTGGCGGTTGATCCCACTACTTCCCAGCTGGTCTGGAGCGCCATTGAACAATCGCTAGGATCGATGACACGGGCACGTGCGCTGCGGCTTCTTGGGCAGCTCCAAGGTCTCAGGCAGGGTAACAGCTCCATTTCAGAGTACTTAGGCCGCGCTCAGGTTTAATTAGTTGTCTCTCGCCGGACGGCCTGTGTCATTGAAAGAGCGAGCAGAATTTATACGTTTTTCGTGGGTTGCTTCCGGAGTTCCGGTCAATGGCGTCCTCCCTCACCACGCAAGGCTCGCCGGTCACTCTTACAGAGGAGTTGTCCGATCACTTGGCTGCTTCTTTATTATCTGTACAACCTAATCCAGAGTACGCAACACCAATGTTTAGTTTGTTTGAGCAGTACGTACTACATCTCATCTTCCATCATCTCCTCTATGGCTCTATGTATGTATCTTCAGGGCTCAATGTTTATATTTATTTGTTACGTAAAACTAACAAAATCTTAATATGTACACCACAATCAATAACACGTAGCACTAATATGTTATGTTATGATACAATGAACAAAAGACTTTGAATCTGGTGGAACCCCTATACTAGATGAGATCATGAGATCTCATGATATCCATTTGACAGTAAATATGTTACCGGATAATATTATTTCGTATAACAATAGTTGTATTGCTAAGTGTTTCAATTCAAGAATCAAAATGTGTCCCTTTAAGCTGAGGGGAATTTCTATTTATCCTAAGCCCTTAATGGTAATATGGTGGGACATAAATGAGGAGCTGAGGCCTTTAATTCTCTCTCATCAATGGTGACTTCAATGGTAGCAATAAGTGGCCGTAAAGTCACTACCCGTAGGTGTTCTGCCAGTTGGAATTCTATCCGTTGGGTTTCCACATGGTGCCGGGTCGAGTGCTTGTTGATGATCCGAGTCGGGTGCCAGTACCATTATTCTGTCACCATTGATTCATTTTCCATGAATGGTTGAGATTATAAGATATTGTGAAAGTAATTAAGGATATATTGAAATCAAAATGATTAAATAGTAATTGTAGATATATGTTTAATTATGGATATAATTCAATTGGAATCTTAAGCATTATATTACGAAGATTATGAATGGAAATTGATATTTTAAATTATTAGGGATCGTATCAATGGTAATAATTAATTATATTTTGTAAATCTGAAATTTTAAATTATGGAGAATTTTACGGTGGTGTGTGTGGGTGTGGAATGGTGTGTGCGTTTTATAGTTTGTCATGATGTACACCTCTTGTTACAGGAAACCACACACGCCATTTCACACCCGCGCACACACCATTGTAAAATTCCCCACAATTAAAAAAGAAAAAACGAAAAAAAAAAAAAAAAAAAAAAAACACCAAAAAACAACAAGCCCAATACTATATCTATTACGCACTGATTATCCATTCGAAATTCAAATTCCGATACCCAAATTAGATTCGTATATTTTTGTTTTCTTTTGGATACGTTTCGCACACGCCCGAAACTAGTAACACACAAACCAAAATGTATATGCCTGTATCACGAAACTCACATACCAAAATGCATAATTTAATGAAAAAAAACCAACACGTCATGGTGTACGAGCCATGTTATAGAAAAATGCAAACACCATTCCACACCTAGGCACACACCACCATAAAATTCCCCATAATTTAAAATTATAAATGTACAAAATATAATTAAATATTACTATTGATTGGTTCCCTAATATTCTGGTAAGATTCTATTTTAAATATAACCAAAATTAAAAATCAAAATACAATTACTCTTTCATCCTTGTCTTTCAAATCTATCATTATTTAATTATTGTTTGACTTTCAATCCTATCCATCAATTGAAACTTTATCAATGGATAAGATGGGATCTCATGATCTCACCTTATTGAGGTGGTCTCACTGAATTCAAAATCATGAACATAATGTAGTTCTTTTTTGTAATCCATGTTCATATTAGCTTTTTTGTTTGTAAATGTTGATGAATTATTTGTCCAATTATCAATTGAAGTGAGATTAGTATTGAGCGTAAAACAATTACAAAACCTCGTCAACAACCTAAGCTTCAACTACTTATTCATCACATTCAATTAACTGATGCCAATTTAATATAGTGACTTGACAGTCCAAGAAACGATATAATTACGATATACTATCATTATACTTTATTTTATTCAAATTATTTTATCTAATTGATTATGTTTTATATTTTGTCATAAATATTTTTACATTTTCACTCAAGTATATTTTTTGCTCCAACTCTAACTATCGTTTAATCTATCAAAAATATTCTATTGTAATTTATAATATATTTTGTAGGCTAAAGTGTCATCCCGCACCATGAACCATTCATGATTATTCATGCCGCACCATGAACTTTAATAAGTGATATTTAGAGCCATAAACCAAAAAAAAAAAATTCGTCTAGAACTTTTTACAGGTTTCCTACAGGTTACCGGTAATAATATTGCTGACATTGCATTTTTTTATTAGTTTTTTTTGATATTTTTCTTCTTTCGCCTTCGTATTATTTTTTTTGTGTGCGTATTTTTATTTTTTCCTAAATGTATAGGCCTCTCTGCGTTTTTCGCTTCTCGTTTCTCTGATACCAAACTCCGCAAAGCAGGCCTGATCAGAGAAACGAGACGCGAAAAAAGCAGAGCAGGCCTATACGTTTAGGAAAAAAGAAAAATACAAAAAAAAATAATAATACGAAGGCGAAAGAAGAAAAATACCAATAAAAACTAATAAAAAATTTCACGTCAGCATTATTATTACCGGTAACTTGTAGGAAACCTGTAAAAAGTTCTAGACGAAAAAAAAAATTGTGGTTTATGGCTCTAAATATCACTTAATAAAGTTCATGGTGCGGCATGAATAATCAGGAATGGTTCATGGTGCGGGATGACACTTTAGCCTATTTTGTATTTTAACCTTATTATGATTGTTTGATATTTTGTACGGAGTAATTAATATTTCTAATTGTCATTTAAACTTCGCCCCCACTCAAGTATTTTCCTGGCTCCGTCCCCAAGTATAACGATACATCAACTAATCAAAATGAATTTTAAAAACCTTATTTTGCTATTAAAAAAAACAAAAATAAAAGGGAAAACGACACTTTTGGCCCCTGAATTGTTTTACTATTAGAGATTTGGCCCCTGTCAATTGATTTGAACAAATTTAATCCTTCAATTGTTTATAATGTGACACAATTAGTCCCTGATGTTATTTAATTAAAAAATTTGTTAATAAAATTTTATTTTATAAGATTATAATTGTCAAATACTCTCCACCATTAAACTTTCTTCTCTCTCATGCATTAACGTGTGTTCGATAATCAATTTTTTTTTTTTTTTGAAAACTCGATAATCAATATCCTAAATATGTAAACTCATCAGTGAGATTCAAGAAGAACTTGGTTGGGGAGGTTATTGATGATATTAAGCGTTTGAAGTTTCGGTAAATGTCCAAAGCTCGTCGGAATTTCTTGGGAAAAATTTGTTCCCACCAAGGACGAGCGTGGTGAGGTTCGTGAACTCCGTCAGAAGCTCCGGTAGGTCTCCGACGAGAAAAATCCACGAAGGTGTTATTGGTAAGATTGGGAGCGCGAAGGGTAGAAATCCGACAACGGTCCGCCGGATAGGACAAAGTTAGAGAAGTCAATAGAGACGACAGCTTGACTCAGAGCTAAATAGCTGCATCGCAGTTCAATAACCTTACCCATGGAAACAAAACCATAAAAAACTTCAACTTCGAAAAACACATCCATGAGAACAAATGGAACTGTGTTGGACTGTCTTTGATGAAAGAAAAGAGTGTTAATTAGAGTAAATTAATTGATAATATCAACCTAAAAATAGCAGGTGGGAGGGGTGGGAGGAAAACATACAGTAATATGAATGAACAGGCTTGCATCTTTAAATTTTGATGTACAAGGAATTGTCAGAGTAAAGAAATTTTTGCTTTTGACTATTTATGAGTTAAGATTGTTACAAATCAAATGTTTGATTAAGATGGCATACATTAAAAAGAGAGAAGGAAGTTTAATGGTGGACACGGGAGAGTATTTGACAATTATAACTTTATAAAATAAAATTTTATTAACTAAATATTAATTATATAGCATTAGGGACTAAAAGTGTCACATTATGAACAATTGAAGGATTAAATTTGTTCAAATCAATTGACAGGGACCAAATCTCCAATAGTAAAATAATTCAGGGGCCAAAAGTGTCGTTTTCCCAAAATAAAATAGATGCAATTTGAACCTTATTCTTTAAAAACCTTAAATGCAATATGATAAAGTTTGATTAAAATTTTACAAGTGAAATATATCATTTTAGACGAAATAATAATAATAATAATAATAATAATAATAATAATAATAATAATAATAATAATAATCCTTTTTTAAAATACAAAAAGTGAAACACATAAAATTAAAATTTCACAATAAAAAAATCAAATTTAAAATAAACTCTAAAATAAAACTAGTCCTCATAATTAGTCTTCAAAGTCAAGTTCACGTTGAGTTCGCGGGGCCCCCAAACTTTCTATGCACTTGTTTTCAGGAATTGTATTATCTGGAAATTAATTTGTACAAGTGGACAATTCTAATAAAAGCTATTGTCAAGACTCAAGAGTGGTCATCAATCATAGAATTGTATTATGTGAAAATTTTGTACAATAATTTTGTGGACAATTCTAATAGTAGCTATTGTTAAGAGGAGTCATCGATCATAGAATTGTATTATGTGAATTTTTCTGTAGACAATTCTAATCGCAGTTATTATCAAAACTAAGGGTGTGTTTGGTTCACACATAAGAATCGGAATCGGAATGCATATCAAATACTTGGTAATGATAATGAGTTTTGGTGAAAGTATTTAACATGTTTGGTAGTAGGGTGGAATGAGAATGGTTACTAATAGTAGTGCTTGAGAATGAATAAGGGAATGAAATCCTTACAGGACGTTTGGTTGGGATTAAGGAATTAGAGTGGAAAGGAATTGCAATTCGGTGGGAAAAGAATAAGGTGTGAATAAAGTAGGAATTCAAATTACATTGTTTGGTAGGGATGAATAGAATTATTGGGTAGGGAATGAAAGAAGTGATATAAAGACTAAAATGTCTTTGTGTAATAATAATAGTAGTAATAATTAAGGGTACTTTTGTCATTTCATCCCTTTTTCCTTTTCCCACAACCACCGAATTGCAATTCATAGGGGGTTACATGAATTGCAATTCAGCAAAAGGAGGGAATTGCAATTCCCTCCAACCAAATGGCGTAATTGTGGCTTCCACTGAATTGCAATTCAACTACAGCCAAATTACGTCCAACCAAACAGGCCATTATTTTATTTGGATATGAATTTTTCAATTGATGGGACATTCGAAACTCATAGTAATGTTCTAAAATCTATCAAACTAAACAACAACAATCACTTTCATAGTCATTCCTATGGACAAAACTCACCAATTAAATACACCATAAGTTCTCGATTCATGCGTATTTCCATTCAAATATTCATTTACTTGCCCCTAAATA